AGGAGATATGAGGTATGTAGAGCATAACTCCTAATCGCTCCATTAAGCGGTAAGACCTTCATGAGCTCATATTTTACGACGGTTGACGTAGTGGTTACAAACCTTGATGACGGATGGAACTCACCATATATTCTAACGGAGGCGGTGAGATTTCATCATCATGTGGTATGCCATTTGTATACAGAAACCAACGACAGTAGAGTTTGTAACCGTTAGGATATTGGTCTCCCTTTCAGTTCCGCAATTGAGCTTCATTTCTGCCATCCATCCTTCTGTTCGTTGAACTCATAGTGCGGCATAATCTTCTTCTCTGATTCATCAGCCGGGATTTAACTGTTGTTGTTTCATTTAAAGCTGTGCACGCAGTCACTTGATCATCACGGCTTACGTGGTCACCTGGTTTTACCATGAAGTGGCTGTCATTTTATATCTCAGAAAGAAGAAAGAATGATGCGACCTGCGCTCGAATCCAGCATCTGTCTGTTTTGAGTAAATTCGCTAAAATGAGGGATTGTAACTGTTGGTGAGATCAATGCTAGCCGACAGTGCTTCGTAAATGAGAGGAAGTGACCTCTTCACGCAACTTGTACAGTTAAGTTTCTGAGATCAATGAATGATTATATCTAAATTTAAACATCTGTCTCGTTATCCCTTTGATGAAACACGATGTTTATACTTTTAAGCGTCCATCTTTTTAATGCTCTGATTAAAGTTAAGGGCAGGCATACGAGTGATTAGAGTTTTTATTAATCATTGAAGCAAAATGTTGCAGTATGATCGTGAATGAAGAACCATAGCTCAGAAACACGACACAATATTTTACCGATGATTGATGGACAAAAACATTTGAGGGACAAGTGAACACCCTTTGCGTCGCAGCGACTGTGTAAATTCTAGCGTAATGAGTTTGAATTGAAGTCATCAAGCGTCTTACAGCAGACACATTGACATGCGTTGTTGAGATGAGCTACGGATGACAGGATATCGAGAAACAAGCTGTTCAGTGAGTTCTTGTGAGTCTCAACTCGGCCTATAAAGTTATTGATCGACATACTGAACGAGCTTTGGGAATACAGAGTAATCAACCCAATTAGTTCCAACTGGACACTACTTGCCCACTAGAAAGCAATTTATGGGAATGGATTAGAGGAGGTCAAAAGCCGTGTCATCATTTAAGGATAAACAAGGATCAGTTTTGGGTCGTTAATTACTCAGTTCCTGTATGAATGCAAATTTGACAGTGGTCTGGATTAAGAGACCTGATTCCTGTCCCTATGACAACAGGAGAGGATGAACCGGCCATATGGTTCGCCTAGAGGGTAACTGATGGACGTCATGAATAGCATACTGGGTTCCTCTTGACTACAAACCTCGAGTCGGTGTCCAAGAATGTTCCAGAACTATCTTACGGCAAAATCACTTGGTCAGCGGTAAACGGGAAGAGTGACGACTTGCGCTCATGGCGCATCCATAATGAGGACAAGACAGAGAACGAAAACAAACGACTGCGCCGCGCCGGCTTGCAGTTCATTGACACGTTAGGTTTAAAACCAGCAAAGATTGTATTTCGTTCGAACGACGCACTCGTTGTTGCAGAAAGACGGTGATATTAGAGAAGGTTCTATTGAAAACCACGCAGTATAAAATTCTTACAACGAGACCAGGTTTCGCTTGAATCTGTCGGTGTTCTTTAGCCAACGTGAATACTCGACAACCTCGCCAACTGCGATTCAAGTCATTTTTCAAGTCGAAAATGGAATAATATACCCAGTCGAAATCTGACCCCACTGTGTGGCATCTTATGCTGCTTGTTCATGAGCAAAATCCCTCCTCCGTTATCCGACATCCCTCATTATGAGTTCGCCATGAACGCAAATCGATGCTCCTCCAGTACTCTCAAATTTTCACTTTCTGCCTCCGCCGCTGACCATGCAATTTGAACTATCAGGTCGTTCCAGTGTGTTCTTCGACGAGCCAGAGAAACCAGTCTGAAATTCTCGACGTCCACCGGTTGCGTCTCAGGCGAGCCACATGACACCCACCTATTATCTGTTGGGATACCAGAAAGCTGAAATCACGTCTATACGTAAAATCCTTCCTCTTACCAGCTAGAACTGGTTTATGCGCAAGGAATGATTAATTCGTGAAAGTCATTACACCGCCTTATGCAGCAAGGTTGTACAGCACGTGCTACTAGAGGCAAATGGGACCATGTAAGCAGACCTCGGCAGCACAGTGCTGGCTGAAATAACACACCTTCGCACCACCAACGCGTTTCAGTTCTAACCCAAAAGCATACTAGCGTAATGAGTTTATGTTCAAAACCAGCTGCAACTG